AACTTACTAAACCTGTTAATAAAAATCACTATTTGGTAAAACAATATTTGTATAGTAACAAGAAGAGTGAACCTCCACCCCACAGAATCCAATCTGGAGGTTTTGTGTATTGAAAAAGACATCTCCATAAAAGTTCTTCACAACCCTGTTGTAAAGATTGGTTCTAAGTACTTCTTGCAAATCCCTACGAAGCCAGGCTCCATGGAATTGACTCCTGGATTCATGTTTCCTAACTAAAAAAGAGGCTAATCTACCTGAATGGTCCAGCACTCCCATCTCCGATTTCAAACTCCACCTGACTAGAAAGAGAAGCCGCTGACATCTTGAAGTTGACTGCTTCCACCCAAGAGTCCAGACCAAGCCTGTATATTCTGAAAGACTCAAAATCACCCTAATCTATATTCCTTCTATTTCCTTCCTTGCCATAGTTCATAACCCTAAAGATGGGCAATCAGACTACACAAATCTAAAGCCCAAGCACCACCATAAAAATTTTTTAATTTGTTTACCTGGGCTATTGCAATTGCAAAATAAGAGTCCCAAGTGATCCAACCCCAATTTGGGAGATGTTCAAATGATGGTGCAGGTCATGGGGCTCATGAATTAAAACCATCTTTCAGATTGTATTTGTTGCCCTACTTTTAATTTTGCTTGGTGTTATTTTATCTAAACTTTATACTTGATTGCTCTCCCAATCTGATAACCAGACTCCAGCCAGCATTATGCTTGCTCAACAGACTGAATTAGCCACCTATGCTTTTCCAGAACAAGATATCCTTTAAAAGAATCTTGAGGATACCTGACGAGAGTTGACTGATGGTCTCTCTTTCTCACACCCTCATGTTGCCCATAATAAGCCTGGGACATCCCATCCATCTCATCCAACGTTACCTTTACATTTCCCTCCTCTGTGGGACATGACTTCCTAGGAATGAGACATAAGGGAGCCATTTTTAAACATACTTAAATTCACAACAGACATTCATCAGAGATGATTTCTATGAAATATCGATGAGAAGGGGGAAATGATAAGGAAAAATTCTGAAATGAACTAGATTAAGTGGCTTAAGGGCTGGAAAATGAGGGAGAGAAACAAGAGAAGATAATCAATGAATAGCCTTAGGTGGTAGCTAACCAGAAACTTCACCGTCCTGGATGAAGTCATTTCAACGATCATCTAGAAGGCGCCCAGAACCACTGCATCCTTCTTGTGCACGACCAGTGCCTAACCATCATTAACAACCAATCCATGAGCCTTCACTATGGATTAATCACCTAGCCCTGGACTTGCCCCACTCACAGCAGCCCACCTTCCTTATCTGTAGCCAATGTGAACTTAAACAACTTTCTTCCCTTGAGACCACTTACAAATATTCTCTGATTCTTGAGTCTGGCAGACAAGTTGTTTCTGTTAATTGGCCTTGCTGCTGGTGAAGCAGAAACTTTCCATCCCAGTCCTTTTCTGACTAGCATCTGTAAAGTCTCAATAAACCCTCTCTTTCAGAGATTTCTGTCTCTGGAGCTTTAGATTTATAATGCAATATGAGAAGTGATCACCCCACCCCACAGTTTTTTCATCTAGAAAATTAGATTAGAATAGATGATCTTCAATACTAACCAGTTCAGTCTAAATTAACTTAGTGAACATCTATATATCCAGGTAAAGGCTGTGAAGCATACAAAGAAGGGTAAGACATGTAAGGAGTTTATCATCTAGTTGGCTAACATATGAAAGACTAAGGGGAAAAACAAGTAGTGTGTTCAGGGGCAGAAAATGCTCAGTGAAAGGAAAAAGCATCATGGGTTAGAGAAAGTAACCCACGGAGCAGACAGTAACTGAAATAAGTCATAGAGAAGAGAGGGAATAGGAGAACAGAAGGGAAGCAGGAGGATTCCAAACAGGAGGAACTGAACAAGCAAAAGTAGGGATGAAATAAGAATTATTAGGGGACAGGAAACAACAAAAAAAGGGAGTGTCAGGGATGTTGGGATCCTGGAACATAGAATTTATCATGAAATCAATAGAAGAAAGCCAGTTTACAAAATATACTGGAATTCATCTTGAGTAAAGGAGAGTTTCATTTAATCTATTTCTTCTGAATTTTTACAATGAGACTTCAATCATAAATGTTTTGAATGATGACTTGAATAAATATAAAGCTAAATTATGCTTTTGGAGGAAGAGTTGCAAGATGGCAAATCTTCCTAAATTAGTCTATACATTGAATGTTATCAACATCAAAATCTTGATGGAATTTGGTTAGGCAATGTAACTAATTTAGTCCAATTGGAAGAAAAATTTAGCCAAGAAGATCCAGGAAAATTCAGATAAAGTAGGAGAAATAAGTGAGACATTCCCTATCACATATTTCAATTACAGAAACAAAGGCACAGAGACATTAAGCAGTTTTCCCAAAGGCACACAGCTAATAAGTATCTGAGATGGAATTCACAATTCAGGCTGTCCAGCTCCATAGTCCATCTGCTAAATGCTATGTTGTAATCCTATCACACAGAAAAGGAAGAGTCAGAATAATGGAAAATATGACTCTCCTCTGAACAAGATTTATATAATCTTGTTATATGAATATTTGTATATTGAAATACATGAAATAATGAAATACTAAAGATATTTATATCTCTATATTATCTATATCTATATTATTTATATCTCTATATCAAATATATATATATATTTGTATCAGAATACAAGTATATTGAAATACTTGTAATAATGAAAACACTAGAAACTGGCATAGCCAAAAATTGGGACATTGGGAAGATAGGGGGAAGGAAAGTTGAAGGGAGTTGTGTCAAGAAAGAGAAATTTTTACTTCCATTATAGGAAATCAATCGGCAAAATCTATAATTGAAAAAAATCAAGAAATAGCAGCAGGAAAAGCAGATCATCTATAAATATTGGTAAATACTAGAAAATACAGTTAAAAAAGTGAATGGTTGCCTTGTGTAGGCTGAAGATAAGTAAAATGAATGGATGCTCCTGGAAGCAGCAGTCAGAAGAATGAATGAGATGGATACACAGCAGCATGGGTAGGTCTTCAAAACATAGCACTGAGTGCAAGAAAAAGTGCATCTTCAATAACATTTCTATAAATTACCATATATACACATGCAAAAACTCTCCATATTCTAAAGTACATGTAAAAATAATTCAATGCACAGATCAAACACATCTGAACAATTGTCTACCAGAAGGCAGAAATGGAGATCAAATGGAACAATGAAATTAAACCGGGGGAGATTGTAAAAACATCATGATAATGTACACATGATTTAATGAGTATGATTAACTCAACCCTATGCACTGAAAGTTAAATGCACAACCCTATGCACAAAAAAATTAAATGGAACTTAGGACTGAAGATAGATGAAGCAGAACAATGCTGTTTTCTTTACAAGCTTTATAGTATGGGTTGACTTTTTCAACAATGCACGAGTATTTAAGTACCTGATCAAAAATAAAATAAAAAAGCAAGTTGATGGAAGAAGAAATATACATATATTATTTAAAGACTTAAAGGCTAGCAAACAGAAGAGCTTAAAATAGTCATGTAATTATCACATTTTGGGAGGAATAAGAAGGAGAGAGGACAGAGGGGTATCAGTATCATTCACAATAAAGAGTAAATGAATATTGTGCAAAGTTGATAACTCAAAGAGAGCTATCAGAACAATAATTAGATATTACAAATTCATTAACAAAAAACTGAAGAGCAGGAATAGTTAAAAGAGGCTGGCTTTAGGGAGTGGGACAGAGGATATGGCGTGTTGGTAGGAAAACTGATGTTTTTCATCACAAACTCTTCTAGACTATTTGTCCATATTTAAATTTTTTAATTATTTGAAATAATATTTTCAAATGGCTATATAATAGTATGTCATATGAATGTGAACTTGATTTTAAAAATAGTTAACATCTATTGATAATTTATTTGAACTCTCCTATGTATTTTACACATGTTAAATCTAGTAATTTTCACAATGACAGGTAGGGTTCTTGTTTGATAGACACAGAATCTGAAGCACAGAGACTAAATAATTTGCCCATGATCACCCAGCCAGTAAGTGACAGAGCAAGGATTTTAATTCAGGTGGTCTGCCTCTAGAACTTGGATGTTTTGATAGCATAATTTAACATGTCCCCTACTTTAAGGTAGTTTGTTCATGATTTTTAGTTCCCAAAAATAAATCTTTATAACCATAAGCCCTTGAACTAGGTTAGGTCCCCCATTTCAGTGCTATCAGAGTACTACCTGGTACTTCTCTTTCAGGTCACCTTACACAGGTAATTATTTACTTAACTCCTATTATTTGGTTAAGTCTGTCTTCCCACTTGACCACACACACTGTGAGGGCAGGCACTGTCTACTTTGTTCAGGTCTACATCGTAAGTATGTGATAGTGCCTCTGGCACAAAGTACTCAATAAATATTCAGGTTCTGCCTGACTGACCCCTCTTTCCTTAAGTTAGATTCATAGAAGTGGAATTAATGAATCAAAATATGTGAACATTTTAAGGCTCATAATACATATTATCAAATTGCTTCCTTACACATTACACTGATTTACCCTCATAACAAAGGTGTATTTAAGTGCCAAAGACCCTGAAGCTTTGACAGTAGGGAACAGTGTAATTGTGGAATCTTTACTATTTTACTATATCAAAAATACCATTAAATATATTACTACTATATCATTAAATAATATCATTAAATTTTTACTATTTTATTTAATAAAAATTTGCTTCTCCGAAATCTATGAAGGAATCTCTCCTTCCCTTGTTCTTTAGCTATTTGTATCTCCTCTTCTGTAAATTGTATCCTTTGCCAACTTGTTAGAAATGAGCAATATTTTAGACATTTAAGCGCTTAAGAAATTTCTTTAATCTACCTCGGAAAAATTTACAATAATTTATTTCAAGTATAATTTTAGAGACCAATTTTAGAAAAGCTTTATGCAGAAATAAGGAGAGTGCTTACCTGGAAGATTTTCAGTGCTTTTATAAGTCCTTCAACTTCATTCTTTAAGGAAAAAATGAGTGTTGCTCTTCCCCTTTCTAAGGAATGGTCTTTGTTTTCCTTATTATCTTCAATCATGATGAATTTGGTGTGTGTCTCTAAAAATAAAGTATGAAAAAATAGAGAAAAGTCTAAAAAAGAAGACAATATTTGATAATATTGAAAACATAATATTTAACATTAACATTAACCAAGTTTGAGTTTCCTCACCTGTAAAATACACAGATATGCTTTGCAAGACTATAGTGAGTCCAAAATACAATAAAATATTGCCGGGCACAGTGCCTACAATGTAAGAGGCACACAATACACATTAGTAGTTTCCTTTTCTTTTTTTTTCTAATCCAGTGCTTTCAGGGTGTAACTCAAGCCTTTAGATGCTTGCAGTCTTCCTGACTATTGTGGCCTGAACTGGGCACTCTTCTTCAGTGAAAGCCTACCTCCTCTCTCCCTCACAATTTTAGCACTTTATCATACTGGGTCTTGAATGACTTCCCCAAATGTTTTATTTAAACATGTCCTGTCTTCTTACAAGGTAGCAATCTCCTGTGTGTGTATTGGGGGAGGTGAGGATATTGTGGGAGTAGAAGTAGGGTACAATAACTTTGTATTGGTGATTTTCAATTGAGAAATAAACACCTGAGAAATAACACTAAGATTAAAAATGGAAAAACCGTATTAAAGATTTATTTTCATTAGCTTTCTTTTGGTTATTAATTCTTCCTAATTGCCAAGTTTCACGTTGTAATTTTAGTGGAATTAAACTTTAAAAACTTAAATTGATCACTGATTCCATTGTCTTTCACCTGCTCTCATTCACTGATCCAAGCCCATCAAGGAGTCTTCACAAGGCTTCACTTACTCATGGAAGCCTTCCCTGACCTCCCCATGTATTGGTCAGTTGCCCTTAGTGCTGGTTATCACTGCACCATTTGCCTGCCATTCATAACAGTCACCAGGGCAGCTGCCACAGCTGTTGTGGTGGGTGTTTGGTTGACTGTCTCTCCAGCTAGATGGTGAGCTCCAAGGGAGCAGGGAGCAGGTGGGTCTTTACTCACTATTGTATCTCCAACACCTAGCACAGTCCCTGAAAACAATAGGCACTGGCTACATGTCACTGAATGAATAAACAAATGAAGGATTGATTAAAGACATGATCCCCACACTCAGGGAAATGAAAGTCTGGTAGAGATAGAATGACAATATAGAAGGAGAAGCATTGTAACAGGTGGCATAGTGATGGCAGTTACTAGATTAATTATTCTGCTATGTGTTCAGAGACATGTCATTGAAGAAAATGTGCTTGAATTGGATCTTTAAAAAAGGGGGGAGAAGGAGCAGGTGAAGAGGTGAAAGACAAAAGATGAGGATGTAACCAACCATTACAGGTGAGTGCGAGACTATGCAGGCAAGTTATCATGTGCCCTTCAGAAGGCTCTGTGGAGGTAATAGAGGGGACTTTGGATGTGACCATGTGTGCTCACACAAACACCCAACCAAGGACCATGGCCAGTCTGAGCTAAGGCTAAATGAGAAAAGTCCTGGCTTCAAAATGCTTTCCTTTAGGATGATGTAAAATTAGGGGATTTGTGCATTTCTCTTTCTTTGACCAGAAAGCTCTTATGACTGTTCTCTTTCCTCCCTAAAGCCTTTTTCTTAACCATATTGTGTAACATTTTGGGGCCCCTTAGGAGATGCAGTCCCAAGAGACCCGTCTGGCTTGAATATGAGGGTACAAAGTGCCAAATATGGCTCAGAAAGTTTCAACTGTATAGTCATAAACAACAATCTGCTACTAAATACGCCAATTAAATAAAATTTTCTGTTTCAGAATTCAAACTTTGTAAATACCTTTGGAAGTTAGTTTAACAAATATTTATCAGGCATTACTAAGTTAAAGGACTGCTACATAGAAGTTTAGAGACTATGGAGATAAGAAAGTTAAAATTGATAATGTGGGGGGGGTTCTGTGATTCAAATGATTATTAATGATAAAATAAATGAAATTTCAACTCAAGCACATTCACATGTATAAAGTATCATAGTCAGTGTTAGGGCAATAAAGATTAAAAAACAAGACAATTTGCTTCCAAGGAATTCACAGACTTATGTATGAGGGAGGGGAAGAGAAGAGACAGATTTTCCAGTAATTACAAATAAGAAGAAAATGGGACCTTGAGATCCCAGTTATGATCCAAGAAGCAGGCCTACCCCTCCTACTCCTGCACCCTGTGACCAATGTCCCAGGACACTCTAAATATATTGGAAATGGCTTCTGACCTCTCCATAAATCTCTGATGAGCAAAGCTTTACAGATGACAAGCAGGAGATCCTAAGAGATTTTCAGCTTCAAAGGAACTGACTATTTCCTTAAGGTAATCTTAATTATACAAAGAGAATTCTGAATTAGCAGCTTTCAGGCTAAAAGTTCAGGATTGGTGGGAGAACCAAGATGGCGGCATGAGTAGAGCAGCGGAAATCTCCTCCCAAAACCATAAGTATTTTTGAAAATGCAACAAATACAACTAATCCTAAAAGAGAGACCAGAAGACACAGGACAACAGCCAGACCACATCCACACCTGTGAGAACCCAGCGCCTTCCAAAGGGGGTAAGATACAAGCCCCGGCCCAGCGGGACTCAAGCACCCCTCACCCCAGCTCCCAGAAGGAGGAGTCGGAGAGGGGAGGGAGAGGGAACCCAGAACTGCTAATCATACAGCCCTAGCCATCCGCACCAGAGCATGGACACAGTGCGTGCATGGGGTGCTGGAAACTAGGAAAACAGAACAGTAAGACCTGTGAGTGGGTCCCCGCAACCGGCACACCCGGGACAAAGAAAAGCGAGTGCTTTTTGAAAGTCTTAAAGGGACAGGGACACCACAGCTGGATAGAGGTGTTCCAGGACACTCCACTCAACATCTGGGAACCTGGGGAACTCTGGGCACCCAAACCCCTGCAGTGCAGCTCGGAGGCCCCTCACTGCAATAAACAGCCTCCCGCCTGTTCCCCTTCCAATGCGGCTCCACCATATTGGAGCAGCAGCCTGAGGCAGGCCACGCACATAGCAACTGCAGAGCTAAATAAACTCCATAGCAGCCAGGCAAGATCAGAAGCCCTGTCTGCACACAGCTGCCCAGCACAAGCTGCTAGAGGCTGCTGTTCTCCCAGGAGAGGAAGGCCATAAACTGGCAAGAAGGGACTTTCTCTTACCCAACACACGCACCAGCTCCCCACAAATATATC